GCCAGCCTGGTTTTTCTCAGTCCCGAAGGACTTCCTGAATGATGTCTTTCGGACACCAACAGTATTTTAGCTTGGGTGATGGGTCCATCTGTATTGTATCGTTCTGCCCATACCCGGAGTTCACCACCGGCGTCGCCCTCCCACTTCCAGGAGATCTGATGTGCAAACACATGTGTCAAGCGTCCGGGAAGAACTTCATGGTGAGACGCGGGGACCGATTCATCGATGGGACGAAGTGCGAACCCGACAGCCCGGAGGACGGAGGAAAACCGGGATGGTGTTTGACAGGCCGCTGCAAGGTAGGGCCACGGATCTTGGCCACGTGGGGCAGCTATTCTGATGGTCCGATGAGTCGTAGAAAACAGGGCGTTTCCTTAGGATCCCTGGCGGTGAGGGTTCCATCTCGTCCCTCCTGCTCTTCTCTCCGGCTGCCGCCGAGACCCTTGTTTCTCTGTGGTCCAGAGTTGCCCCACGGGAGCCTTGATCAGCCTTTAGGTTGACCTGAAACGTCCCCCTTTCTTCCTTTCTTTCCACATAGATGTTTGGGTGTGATGGCAGAATGGACTCTGGGAAGAGTGCGGACGCATGCCAGGTGTGTGGCGGAGACAACACGACCTGTTCCCACGTCAACGGTTCTTACACAGAAGGAAAAGCCAGAGGTAAGGCAGTCTTCTCCTCCTCCCTCTGGTGCTCCCGGCCATGGATTTTCGCTGTAGACGTACATCCGTAGCACTCTGCTCGCTTTCATCTCTCTCTTAGAGTACGTTACCTTCCTGGTGCTGCCTCCGAACACCACCACGGTGCGGGTGGTCAACCGGAAGCCTCTCTTTACGCATTTGGGTGAGTGCGGGGACCCCCGAGGGTGGCGGGTGTTGAATTAGCTGGTTGTGGTGTGGTTGTGGGTGAACCTGTATCCCTTCAGACGGACTCCTAACCCCATCGGCCCCAGGCAGGAGGAAGAGAGGAGAACTGTCATCCGAGATCTGGAGAGACACAGGTCCTTGACTCTTTGGATAGTGGAAAAGAAAGCAGAGATCCCTGGAAAGGCCGCTTCCTGGTGCTGCCTCCGAACACCACCACAGTGCGCGTGGTCAACCGGAGCCCTCTCTTTACACATTTGGGTGAGTGCAGGGACCCCCGAGGGAGGCGGGTGTTGAATTAGTTGGGTGTGGTGTGGTTGTTGGTGAACCTGTATCCCTTCAGAGGGACTCCAAACCCCATCGGCCCCAGGCAGGAGGAAGAGAGGAGAACCGTTGTCCGAGTTCTGGAGAGACACAGGTCCTTGACTCTTGGCAGAGCGGAAAAGAAAGCAGAGAATCTGGAAAGGCCAGATTCTGCAAGAAAATGATGCATTGCTGTGCCTTCCTTTGCAGCGGTGAAGGTCGGAGGGCAGTACGTGGTGGCGGGAAAGGGCGGCCGGAAAGGGCAGCATCTCTTACAACACCACCTTCCCTTCCGTCCTGGAAGACAACCGGATCGAATACAAGGTCTTCCTCACCGAGGATCGCCTGCCTCGCTGGGAGCACGTTCACATGACGGGACCCCTGCAAGAGGCCGCAGAGATCCAGGTGAAGCAGCCGCTGGGAAGCTCCATCTGGAGGAGGCTCCGACGGACTCACACCAGCTCCCTCTAGTGGCCCGATCCTTGCTATAAATGTGTATTTTTGGGATTTTTCTTTTAATATTTTCAGACCGTGGATCAGTGGATACTGAGTCCGTGGATAAGGGATCCTACTGTAAAAGTAGAGGGATATTTACAATGATGGTGGAGGCGAACTTCCCTAATTTCTGGTTTTTCATGTTTGTGTGTTTATTGATTGATTGATTGATTGGATTTCTATCCCACCCTTCTAGACCAAAGGTCTACTCTGGGCGGTGTTCTGTTCAACCCTTCCTTTCCTTTCTCCCTTCTAGGTTTATAGGAAATACGGGAAGGAATATGGGGCCATCACCAACCCAGACATCACCTTCAGCTACTTCCGACCAAACGAGAAGCAGGCATACGGGTGGGCTCCCCAGCTTGGTCCCTGCTCAGTGAGTTGTGGGGAAGGTAAGGGGCGTTCAGCCCTCGATCCTGCCGTCTCTCCTTGAGAGACGGTGCGCAGGCGGAATCAGAGCCTAGATCAGCCACACTGGGTAGCGATGCTGTAATTCAAGGAGGCGTCCCTGGAGGTCAAGTCCAGGATCATCCGCACCCTTGTGTTCCCAGTCATTAGGTAGAGGCGCGAAAGCCGGACAGTAAAGAAAGCGGGTAGAGAAAAAAAGATGGATTTGTATGAAACGTAGTGCTGGAGTAGAGCTTTAGGGATATGACGGACGGCCAGAAAAGATGAACTAGTGGGTGCTAGAGCAAATCAAGCCCATACTCTCTCTCTCTCTCTGGAGGCAAAGATGATGAAATGGAGGAGGCTGTCCTCCTTTTTGGGCCCATCCAGAGAAGGCAGGAGTCTCTGGAAAAGGCAGTCACGCTGGGAAAGGCGGAAGGCAGAGCAGGGAAAGAGGGAAACCCGACACGAGACTCCCCAGGTCTCCTCTCTTCGCCCTGTCTTTATTCCTAAGCACAAGGCTTTGCGTGCAGACGGGGCTGGATTCAACCCTCATCATCACTGGG